GCTCACTTTGCGAAGCCTCAAAATATATGGGAAAGATAGCCGACAGTTGCGAAACACCAATGAATTCCACGAAAAAGAGGGCCCATAATAAACGCCTGCCGCAGCCCTCTCGCTCCTGAAAACTCATTTGCATTGCATGTGTGTTGAATATGCAGCACATGTACTAAACATACGGAACGCAGACAAATGAGACACCTGCACCATGAATGTCTGACGTCTGCGATGCACCCGCATGCACATGTGGCTCACCCCCAAAGCGCCCGTCTGTCTGGTCTCCGAGTGCAAGTTGGCGGTGTAGGGCATGGGTTATTTGTCGTCGAGTTCTGAAGGTCTTGGAGCGCCTGAACTTGTACAAGCTCAGATTTACGGGTGCTTGAGGTGCTAGGACCAGCAGATCTGTGAACAATGGACGCCACTTCCGCGCCCCTTGTTGTACACCAGGCCTCGCGGTGTATTAGCATTCGCATCCTCACAATGGAAACTCGGTGACACCTCCGGAAACGTCCACTGCTTTGTCCTACGAGACACGCGACCTGCCATCGATGATGTTGAAACGAATTTGTCTCTGAATTTCGGGAGTACGGAAGAGGAAACAAAGGAACGGAGTTTTTCCTGCTCGGGACCAAGCTTAACAGAGAATCAGCTCAGGTTGCACTTCGCTCGCCACCATCGATGCCCAAGTGCAGTGTGTTGCGCATAGGTTATCTCACGGCCCACACCATCCAAACCGGAAGCCAAACCTACATTGTCAATTGACTGTCATTACTCGTATATACTTAATTCGCTAGCCTATCGTACATCTGGTCCGCATGTCAGTGGTGAATTTCGCGCTGGCTGTACGACCCCTTGAGCGAAGATGCACGCGCTCTTGACCGCGACTGCGTCGGACCAGTGGCACACGAGCCGCCTCGTGGACGCGAGTGGCTGTGGCCCCGCGAGGTTGCATGCAGGATAGACGCACGGCGGCCACGCAGAAGATACTCCGTTTTGTCGACATACACGTATTCTGAGATTGGAGCAAAATCGTCGATATTCTGGGTCGCAGCTGAGGTGGGTAAGACTTACGGCGCCCATAACCCCTCGCACCGAGGGTGACCATGTCTCTGCTCTCGAGCACAATGCGCTCGTCAGGCGCGACAAGCCTGTCATTGACCTTCCACCAACAATCACAAATGAGACGGCTGAGAAGCTCCCAGAGAAACGCGGAAACGCACATAGGTGGGCGTGTCCAACAGCTCGTTCCGGGCGGGTTGCAACGTGACCGTCCCATCTTGCTTCGCACCAAGCACGGCATGTTCGTCAGCTTCGCCACAAACGGCCATCAGCATAAACATAAGTCTGAGGGGGAGTATTATGCCTACCTACGAACGGGTGATCGATGACAAAGTCGTTCGACGCGTCGCGCCCGACTGTGGAGTGCTGCTGAGACAGAATGCGTAGCGTCCCGCCGCGCTTGAGCCCCGCGACCGGCTTCAGGAAGGCGATGGGGTTTTCAACGACGCATGTCGTGTGTTTGATGCCGTCGTGTACAGGCACGTCTTTCGCCGGCTCGGCTTGGATAGCGGCCATTTTTTCCATCTGTGTCGTTCGCATTGTGACGAGTTGCGCTTGTTCTTTTCTGGAGCCGATGTCCAGAAGCACGCGACAGAGGCGTTCCACGTCAACCTTCTTCTTCTTCCTGTTTCCGGCATTTCTCCCTGTGGTCGAGAATAACCCAATCTGAGGCGAGTTCTCCTGCATCTGCTTGCCGAACATCGTGCCTTGGTCGTGCACGAGCGCGGCCGAGGTGATTGCCGACTCCTTTGTGCATGCCGATGAGTGGAGTGGCGAGGGCCAATGCGGGCGCGCGGACCCAGAACTTGTCTGCTTGCTGGAATTTTGCTGCATGCGTGAGTTCCGTACGAAAGACTTCATGCGCGAATCGAGGAGATTCACAGTGTTGTCCATAGCAGAGACGGCATTCGCGGGCGACGACAGCAGAAAATGCATGACGAGCGCATATGATGTCGAACAGGTAGTGGTCGTGAGTGAACGTGTTATGTGCTTGGGCCCGCTGGTCAGCTGCTTAAATAGAAAGTGCGAGAGCGGCCACTCACCGTCAGAATGATCAAAAAAATGCGAGACTGTCGGGACGCCAGTCTAGCCGCCTATCCGGTGCGGGAAGCAGAAAGCCACAAACGAATAGAGCCCGAGGAGTACAAACACTTATATTACTGGGGCGATCAGGGATGATATCGACGGTAAGAGCGATCTTGGCCACCTACAAGGGATATGGGGCTATACTTCTGTCTAGTCAGATTCCAGCGTGCCAGTGGTGTCCGTGATATTGCCCACAGCTCGCGAGAGACGGAGGAAGGTTGGCATGAAGATAGGCCCCTCCCCGTTGCTCGTGAGGAAATATGCTCCTTCCCAGCGACTGCAGGCAATATCAGATACTGATATATCCTGGTTATAGAACACACTCACGTTGCAGACCAGAGTCCGCGCAAAGTCGAAAATCGCTCAAGGTCATCGACAAAGTCAGAAGACGATTCGCGGCGGAAAATGTCCGCAAAAGGACCCGATAAAAGGTTCAGGAGTTCTGTAATAGATAGTTCTCTATCCAAGCTGCATGATTTTATCAGCATATATGCGCTGAGGAACGAACCAAGACAACTCACTCATTTTGGAACCCTCGTACAATATCCCACACAGTCAAGCCCATCAGGCTCTGAAATCGATGTTCATGTCCGAGTGTGATGGCGTGAAAGTTCACACGCCTGACAGAGGGAAAGGTCGCGAAGCTACGTATCGCGACTGGATGTGCTGACAGCTGTCGGACGTAGGTGAGCGGCGCGTCGGGATCATCGACGCGGAACTTGGCGTCGTAGGGGTCATGATACCACGGTGGTAGGTGTTCCGACTTGAACTTGATATCCTGGAAGATGGGGTTGAAGACGGGAATGGGATAACCAGGCAGCGTCCACTCTATCGCGTCTTCGGGATCCAACATCGCGTCCCATGCACCGTCTTCTGGATCCCAGTTGTACTTGCACATTGCGAGCTGAATCTGTTTTGCTGCATAGCAGTTATAATCAGAGTATACTGCACATCGCGGGTCTACTCACTGTTCCAGTCGAGCAGCGCGCCTCCGCATCGTGGATGTGAGCAAAACCCGTCCCTCGCTATGGTCTCGAACGCGATCTCTTTCCAAGACGAATCTGCCTTGAGCCAGCCAATACCAGCAAAACTGCAAGATCGTCTCCAGAACTCTGCCTGCTGGCTGTTGTCGCCATAGAAGGAGGCGATAGTCTTGCAGGTGTGGTAGTAGCAGACGTGAGTGCGCAGGTCCGCCAGGGGGATGTGCTCCTTTACGAGTAACAGCAACTCGTTCGGTAGCTTGCATTCTGTTTGTCTTGGCGATGTATAATCTGCATAGTGCGAGAGCATATAGACTTCAAGATGATCTGGGAGTATGAGAGAGGCGGAGGGTCGTGGTCGTAGACGTGGCCGTGGACGTGGTCAAGACGTCAGGCCAGTCCAGCGCTTGGCGTCGTTGCACGCTGTGTCCTCGACCGCCACCACATAGTAGGAGCTCGGTCTTCGCAGGCTTTGTCAGGAATTTCAAGCCCTGCACGGAGCACTTCAGTTTATTTCGAGCCTCTGCTAGGAGTGGGCATGGAGAATCCACACGCAGAGCGTCATAACGTACTCTTGCAGCGTATCATAAAGAACGCAGTGCGTCTTGGGAATGGCCGCTACTTGCTTGGTTGTCGGACTCACTGTCTTTTTTAGGACAAATGTACTGAGTCTATCATAGAGCTAAATCGCTGTCTCGAGGTTTGTCACCTTGATCCTGTCTCCAAGGGCGCGAAGAGTTGAACTACGTGCTATTTGCAGGAAATTGTTCGCGCCAACGAACACGTCAGAATCGCTTCGGAGCTCGTGACAAAATATCGTAAGAACGTACAGTACAATTTGGAAGCCACCCGTGCAACACAGGAAGCAACCGCTAAGGAGTGAATGCTACGTCCCAGTCACGGGAATCCGTTGTGGATGCTGCATGCACGTAATCTCTGGACAGAACTGGAGGTGAGTCAGTTCTTCGCACGTAGGAGGATCATCACTCACATGCTTCTCTCAGCGTTATAAGCGAGCTCGTCGCAGGACCGGAACCCATTCAACGCTTCTCCAATCTGTCGACCACTGAAACTTCTCTCGCTGCATGGATATGTCTGACATGATCTTATGGCGACAGTATATGACGCCTTAACAATGCCGTGCAACATCAGATCATAGACCGGGAGTTAAGAATGAGCTAGCTTTACACAGATTGAATGCATTTGCGATGAAATCGCTCTCTGATTATGGAGCAGGATGGCAGCATATCCCAGGCGTTTCGATCTCCGAGAGCTCACACCGTCTGTGCCGATGGACTGATAATGGGTGGCGAGATGCATCCGAAGCTAGGGCGACCTTGCGGCTACCCTTAGCGATGCTGGACGTGGAGGCGAGTTCGGTGAATTTAGAGCAGATGTCGACGTTGATCGTGGGGGTGTCGTTTTCATGAGTCGGAAGGATAGGTCTCCTCTTAGCGAAATGCACCCCTTGAACGGGAGCCTTGGTGGCACGATGAGTGAATGGAGTCAGGGACGATTTTCGAAGCTAATGGCCATCGTAGATGTAGTGGTCGATGACCTGTCCTTCAGTTTGAGGTGAAGAGTAGGTATGCGTGCGAAGTCGCTTCATCTGGTACTCACCCCATATGCGTATAAACCAAGAACAAAGCTTGACGTCGAACTTGTCAAGTCAGTCTGGAGGGATGAGAGCTCTGTGTGGACTTCTGCACCTTGCAGTGCCTGGCCGTTTCTAAATACTTGGCGTTCATTCGACGTTAAGAATTCAAATGGTGCTTTACTAAACGGTTAGAGTGAAAGGCCATTAAATGATGCCGTCCTCGACCCAAAGACACAAATCTCGACAGTACTGTGCCGCCATCTCCTCGAGGCGGATAGTGTTGAGAGGCCCCGTACATATCCATATAACCTTCGTGTACTTACTATTGTTAGGTGACACCCCCTCCTTAATCCCTGCAGGGAATAAGTAATGGCGTTTTCATTCAGTGTGGCTGATTTTTGGTGGCATATGCGCACGCCTCTGAAGAACATGAAATGCCTAGCATCTGGTATTCTCTCTGGGTTTGTACTGGACGTCAAAGGCGCCGGCACCTGTAAGTGTTTCCGAGAAATCACGCCAGAGAGCAAGAACATAATCAAGGTCGAGGCGAGAGCTTTTGACGAGCTTCAACTACAAGGTTCTGACAGGCTTGTCCACATTGGAGCTGCCGTTGTAACCCTAAGAGTAGCAACTGCGACCTGCGTCGATGCCCCAGCCTGAATCTCATGAAAAGTCTTGCTTACGAATGGTAAGTAAATCTACAGAGTATGGTTGCTGTATGCATAACCAATTTCCTTGTTCTGCGGACGAGATACCATGAGTTATGACCCCCAGTAATTTCCAGCCACTCCACGTCTGGACCCTCCCTATAGCACCTTCTCTAACCGCAGCGTCGGGACGGCCCCCGGTGTTGTCATATGTGACTGCCGGGACGCCTGAGCGGGGCACGACTACGGCGAGTAGCTGTCTGACATCTCTGGATGCTGACAGTTAGACACCATGGTCGAGGCACTCCATCTCCGCGAGTGGTCACATCGTGGCCGACAAAACACTAGACTTGCTCCCGAAAAGCGTGGGCCTTGTATTTTCTCCAATCTGAAGGCACACCGCAAAATAACATATTCCCTCTTTTTTCAATAGGGAGCGATCTAATCACGTACGTTATGACCGCCGAGCTTTGTAGTTTTGGTCATTCTGTAGGGTTCTCGTACGTCTCGCGACAGTTAGTGCCAATATATATATCTTCACTTCCTTTACGGCATGATCACAGTGTGCCAAATCATACGTACTTAATTGCTGCTCTAACAGCGTCGTGCGCGTCAGACGATGTGGGGTACACAGGGTCAGCATGCAGTGTGCGGGGTCTGGGGCAAACTAGGCGGCAAAGTTCTCCTTGAAGTAGCCGCCCGCCCTTCAACTGCGTCACGTCCACAAGTCCCGTCCGAAGATTGCACACATACCAGGTTGAGCTGCACCATTGAAGGTGGGGTTTTTGATCTGGACTAAATATGATACTTAGTGCGATAATTTAGGTCTATGGGACTCTGTTCGTGCTACTCATGAAGACGTCGGAGTGGCGATGGCCAAATGCTGGCATGTACCCTGGGCAGCAGAAAGTTATCGATACCTATCGCGCGTACGCGAACAGAAAAGACTCTGACGTTGCAAAAGTTAGAATGCTGAAGACTTGCTGGAATACCACCTTGCCTGTGTCCCGGCTGCCTCCGGAGCTGCTGCTCCTTGTCTTCGAGGATTGGGCATCCGAATGCTATACAGAGACGCAGGAGACGGAGCCTGAAACCCGCCCATATGCTTGGATACGCTGCACACATGTTTGTCGGCGATGGCGCGAGCTAGCACTATCGTCGCCGTTTCTCTGGCGGCGCATTGTGCCCACCAGTCCTGAATGGACACAAGAGCTTCTCTCTCGCTCGAGGCAGACGCCTCTTCTTGTCAACTTCAACAGTTCCGATTTCAAGTCTGCATGGAACATCAGCCGGGTTAGGCAAGAAGGGACACACCATCTCCTACGTCACCAGTTCCACCGTTTTCGCGAGGTTCACATGGACGCGTTCGATCTCGACAATCCAACAGGGGTCACGGCGCCGCTCCTGACTAGCCTGCGAATCATGGGTTTCTACGAGAACCCGGTTGCCTCTTATCTTTTTCGCAACACCACGGCAGACCAAATGCCCGATGACAGTTGGGTATTTGCGCGGGACGGCTTGCCTGCGCTGCGGAGACTGGATGTCTTCGTTGCCACGCAACCTATTATCTGGTCATGCTTCAGAACAACCCTGCAGACGCTCCGAACGCGTTTTATACGTCCTCGACCATCTGCGGCTGCCTGGCTGGCTGCTCTTAGAGAGATGCCTAGCTTGCGAGACTTGGACATCGACCTGGGCGACATGCTGGCGGGCGCGCACACGCCGGAGTGGAACCCACTCGGCCCCGTCTCAGGCCCGGTCATCCTTCCTGCCTTGACGGGGCTAGCCATCACTGATGAATGTGACGGTCGCTCGTCGGCGGAGCTGCTGAGCGGCCTGGTGCTGCCCATAGTTGATCATATCGACGTTGACCTCCTCAGCGCGCGCTACGAGATGGAGTCGCCGGCATACCTGGTCTCCCTTCTCAATGCGATCAAACCATTGTGTCGCGGCTGCAGATTAGACAATCTACAGCTAGACGTCCGGGAAGATCTCAATGCGGTCATGATCAAGCTCGAGCCTCTGTTTATCATGCCAGACCACACGTTCCCCCCTTCGCTACAATCCACCTGGGGAGAGGGCCTGCCCTACATCCGCCTGTGCATCTACTCGGATCTGACGCGGAGCACCCTTCGCGAGTACCTGCGCGCGATGCAAGACGTGCGCGTGCTCCGAGTGGGCGGCGATCCTGCGCAAGGTCGCGTCGTTCATGAAGATACTGCAGCCGCTCTCGAAGCGAACGGTGCAAGACGAGTCGCGACGCGCCCCCATCTTTCCGCATCTTAATACGCTTCGGCTCCTCGGGTTGTCCTGGGTTCCAAGGGACGACGACGAAGACAGCAGGAGTGACAGCGATGAGGAAGACGATGACGCGCCGTTTAAGCGGGACGCGGAGAGCTTGATGAAGCAGACGGCGAAGGTCATGCAGAGCCGGAAGAAGGCCGGATGCGAGATTGCGTACATCGTACTCGCAGAGAAACTGAGTGCTACGCCTAACAAGTAGCCACAGGATTGAACTCTTTGGGTCACTCATGACGATACGTACGAATTCGCCAGGGCCAACAGGGTACGCTGTTGTATATTTTCTAGCTCTGGAGCAAAGAAGCTGAGCAAGATAAGATATGAATTGCGCCTATATAGTATTTGTCTTGGCCCAAATCTATTTGGCTATTACACGCACGGTACTAGAAATACGCCTTGTATCTTCTATGCAGCAGGCTTGAAACCGACGAATGCGCGTCTGTGCACCTGGTCTTCGGGGTCTCCTTGTCGCTTAAACATAATTTGCGGCCTAGTCAATAGCCAATATGCGTCTCACGTTAGAGCGACGAAGTAAGCCAAGATTCGCCACTTTTCTTGCCTGACACCTGTTCAAATGACCTCTGCACAAATGCTACAGGCTGGAGTTTGTTTCCCCAGAGCTGGCACGGGTTTCCGACGTGGACAAGACCATCGAGCAAGCCCGTGAGGACATCGTCCGCTTACAAGAACGCATACGCACGCTCCAAACTTACAGAAACACGACCTGACGATATTTTGCTGCACATTTTCCGCCTAGCCAAGGGAG